ATCTTTATTTCGATCCATCTGTCTAAAAATTTTATCTGTTCGTTTCTCTGGCGTACTCTCGTCTTCCGGCATTTTCATAACAGAACCAACCATTTTATAAATTGCCTGCAAGCACAGAGAAAAAGAAATTCAATTGAATGTGAAATAAATAAATAAAAAAAAACGTTAAAAATTATTGCACATGCATACATATGTACGTACATAAATATGTGTTGTTGCAGTATGCGAATTATGCGGCCTTATCACGAATTCCATGTGAACCAATTTGCACAAAAATTATTAGGCAAAATAAAAACAGTTTCTCCCAACTTGTTTTTGTTTTGCCTGTTCAATTACGGGAACGATTTATTCACATGGAGTTGGTGATAAGACTGCTACCTTAAAAAGATGTATTTTTTGTTTGCTAACCGTGACGATTTCCAGCATTTCTTGTCGGGAAATGTAGCCATTTCCATCTAAATCGTACATAGAGAAAGCCCATTTTAACTTCTGTTCTAATTTGCCGCGTGATGTCACACTCAACGCGCATAGAAACTCTCGGAAATCAATTGTGCCATCGCCATTGGCATCGAATGTTCGAAAGACGTGCTCAGCAAACTGGAAATAAAAAGGATGGAATGAAATTAATTTCTTTTTTAGCTTTTAATTTTTCAAGTTGTCTTCAAGCTGTTATTTTTTAAGTTTTTTAATTTTTTATTCGATTTAACATTTAAATTTTTCATGTAACTACTTTATATTTTTTACATTTATTTCGTTATATTTATTTTTTATATTTTTATATTCATATTTACATGTATGTATTTATTTTTTAATACATATTTTTAGTTTATATTTAAATTTTTTTTTTTATTTATTTTGGAACGAATTTCCGTCATCCCTTGTCTAAAATAAATTATCCTTCTCCCACGGAAAACCAACCAAATCAACAAATTTAATTTTTCATTTTATTTAATTTTTATTTTTTTAATATTTTGTTTTTAGTTTAGTTTTTATTTTAAACCAAATTTATGAAAATAAAAGAGTTTTAGAAATAAATATAAACTTGCAAAATCTTACCTTACTTGCATCACCATACGGAAAAAAGTTCCCATATATTTTTTTGAACTCCTCTACGGAGAGATGCCCACTGGGACAATCCTTTAAAAATCCCTTATACCATTCTTGTATTTCTGCATCTGAAGTTGAAAATAATAATATTTACAAGCACGTTACATAAAAGATAGATAAAGATAATAAAATAACTAGCACAAAAAAATAAAAACAATCAGCATAATTCTTTGGTAGGAATAGCTAATGACCGATCCGACACAGATTTACAACCGAGCCAAAAACTGTCATTTCGGCTAAAGATGAAAAAATTAAAAAAAAACTATATTCGTATGTTACACCATAAAATTATAATCAGGCAGTTCTGCACAGCCTTTTAGAAACCTCTTACTTCCACCAGAGGCTAAGTTCAGGGAATTATCTGCGAGAATGGGACATAGGTCCCGATGGTATATGCATGTTGATGCTGAATCATTTGGGTCCAGAGGAAGTAGACTACCCTACCAAGGCCTTCAATCGCTCAATGGCCATTGACATTATTTCTGATAATTGGAAGACTGAGTAATTCCACCACAGAAATTTGGAAAACACGCGATCAAAGCCTAGTCTTATGGACCGATACCTCTCCTCATCCCGAATTTGATGGCACTTGAGTCCCGCATCTGACCTTAAAGATGCAAACTGGCTTTCGATACTCTGAACTACATATGTACATACATACATACCTCACGTGAACAGAGTGTATTGAGCCATCCTCTCTCACTCTTCGACGGTGGTCTGTGAACTTTTTGGGTGGTGGATAATCCAAAAGGCTAACGCATTCGTAGGATTCTAGACAGCACCCGATTTTTATTAATAATCAGCATTATTGCGAGAGTCGTGTCGAAGGCAAGTCGTTTTTCGAGAGTCGAATCGTATCGAAAATTTCACGTAATTGCCTAACATTTCCACTCGACTAGTGTATTGAAACGGAAAAACTTGGCATCACTGCATAGTTTTCGGCTATTTTCGTCGTTTACTTGTCGATTACTGTTTACTTATTTCAGCACGACAGTCGACCATGCGTATGTTGTCGAGTCGTACATTTAGCCTAATTTACGACTTACGCAACGAGGCTGAATATTATAACCAAACATCCAACAAATGGGAGTAATCAATTTATTTTAACACATACATACCTACCATGCAAACTTAAACTCAAAAACGCCTTAAAAACACCATAAATGCCATCATTATTATATGGGTTACGTTAAAAGTCGCAAATATGTGTCTTTTTTTAATCGAAAGAAAAGATTCCGATCTTTATTTTTTCTATAGCTAGAAGACGTAAGAAGACCGAGAGAACAAAGTTTTTGTCCATAAAAAGTACCAAAGTTGGCATTTATTAAGTGTAACTTTGCTTATATTTATTAAATTATTGGGGTTTTTGCGCTGATTTTTACTGTATCTATATTTTCGTATGCACCTACAACAAAAGCAACCAAAAAAAAAAGTTATTAGAAAAAAACTTGGCTCAGTTGAACCAAAAGTCTCAGTAAGTTTTAAATAGTTGAATAAAGTTCTTCTGACTTCAGCCCCTTTTATTTTGTATAAAATTGTAACTTTCGTAAAAAGTTATAATGAATTTTTCTTTTTCAAATATTGCTTTAACCGTCCATTTATAAGAATTGAATTTTCAAAAAGTTGAATTTTTTTGGCCGAAATCCCACTGTGCGACTTCTTGATTTTTTTTTTGTTTGTTCAGATAGTGGAAAAAGCGGAGTAGCGCTCTAAATATTCTCGAAAATTTTATGAAATCTACGATCATATGTAGTAGAGTTCTAACCACGAGTCTAAACTTAGCTGTATAATAACAATATATTTGTTTAAAGGGTTTTATTTTATATGTATTTCTTTGCAATGCTTACCTGTGAATTCTGTATTTTGTTTAAGGTCCTCTAAGACTTCTGGCTTCAATTTACTGTTTTGTTTACCCATTTTGATTACTCATGCTTTGATTTCTCTGAAGATAAAAGAAAAACAAAGATTTACAACAAAGCTAAAAATTCCTGTTAATAAAAAATTTTAATAAAAAAAAAACTCCAAATTAATGATAAATATATTAAGATTTTGTTACCGTTATTGATCGTGTGCGCTTCGAACTTGAACAACTAGCAGATTATTAGCGAGCTTGAATGGGGTTGCTTGAATAGATATACGAAAAATACAACGTCAATACAGCAAAGATTAAAATAGAGGCAAAAAAATCCAATTAGCATAAGTAAGATTCTCAAAAAAATTGTCAAATCTAATATCATTGTAAGCAGTGAGCTTACGAATAACACTGTTGTTAAACGTTTGCTTTAAAAATCGCATAAAAATTAAGCGCTTCTACGTAGATTGATACTTAGCGGCATAAACTTTTAATTACTACAGGGAAACCTCGATATAACGAAAAACTCAATATAAAAAAATGTTCCATAGATATAAATATATAGAAATTTTTAGCTTGAAAACCTTCTAAATATATTAACGGTTAAAGTCCCGTTAGCAAAAGGCATCTATAAAACTAAATATCTCGACTCAGAAGCCTCTACATAACGAATTCGGAATACGTTGACGGTTAGAGACCCCTTATAAAAAAACGAACCTATAGGTACTTATGACGAATTTTTTCCAAAATTTTGAATTTTTCGTTGTATGGAGGTTCTGATATTTTATAAATATATCAAACCTACAGCATTCGTCCAACTTTTTAGAAGCAAGAGATTTGCATTTTTTTTTTTGGGCAGAAGTGCTTAAGTAAATTATTTTGGAACTAGGTATAAACTAAAAAAAAAACACTTTTTTATTCAAATTAAGCTTAACTAAGTGTGTATTATTTGTCATAACGGCCCACACTTTCCCCATTACCCTTATTCCCCGGTAATTTTCACACATCTACAACTCGCTTGTTATGTAGTAAAAATAGCTTTTATGTTTTTGGTTTCTTTTTATTTTTGCTGAAGACACATGCGAAAGAAACACAATGACTCGTATAGAATTTGTGGAACAAATTAGCTTCTGCAAGTTAAGCGTTTTTTATCTGCTTAGTTTTGCTATTTAGAATGCACTTACACGCCAAGCATTAAGAAGCGTTTGGCGCATTGTCGAAAATGAAAACAAGAAATTTACCAGAAAAAAAAACAAGTGCGCTGCAGTTGAGCATAGGTTTTGTTTAACTTTCTTTATTCTTTTGTATATGAATACTATGCATATAATAAAAAAAAAAATATTTCTGATTTTCAATTTTGTCTTAATTTTCTACTGATTTTTTTCACATTTTCGTTTTTTAATTATTTTACTTCCGCCACGTTTGTGACTACCAGCTTTTCTAAACAAACCTATTGGACGCACCGCAAGTGGTATGCGTTTTTTATTTCGAGCAATTTCCCCCCTTTTTTTTCAAAACAAACAAAACTTATTGCGAGTCATACGCCTGCGATACTAAAATTAAAAGAAAACTGAAATGCCAATACTGCAATTTGCTACCAATTGCAAATGCATTACAATGTCCCCGAATAAAAAAAAAATATATACATATATCCATATGCAAATAAATGTGTGATATCGGGGCAGTAGTAATACGTCAGCGTCTAAGCGGAATCTTTATTTGTAGTAGCCTATATTCGCAGCAATCAACACTTAAATAATAAAATAAAATTTAAGAAAATATTTTAAAACGGAACGAAACGAAAAACACTAGACTACATGAGAGCTACATATGTACAAGTAATTGTTAGAGCTACTGCTGCAAACATAACTACACACATACACAAGTATGTACGTGCATTTGCACTTAATTAGATTTGTTTTTCAATGCCTTTATTGCAAAAAATTACAAGAAACAAAAGCATAAAAATACAAGTTTTATTTTACTCGTAAGTATGTATGTCCGTATGTAGCAAGTTTGTATAAAATATTGAAACACAATGTTAAATTTTAGTAGATGCCTTAGTATTCATTTTAGGAAATGTAAATTTATAAATTTTATGATATAAATGATTCAATAAATTACATAAACCACAATGGGTCATTTGCTTATTTTTATTTTGTTTTCTTTCAAAATTTCTTGTGGTTGTTTCTTTGGTTTTTTTTTAAATTTTATTTTGTGAGGGGGTGGTTGTTGGTTTTTATGTTTTCTTTTTATTTGGTTGTGGTGTTTATGGGGCCAACATTTTTGAAAGTTCCTCATCTTGCAGGCACCCTTTTAAAAATTCATCTTGGGTTAATTGACCATCATTGTTTTCGTCCATTTTTGCGAAAATATTTTTTGCACGTTCCTCAGCGGAATCGGCTGGTCGATTCGATGAACACGCGCCGAGCATATCGTATATGGCCTGTAAGATTAAAACAAACAAAACCGAAGCACACACAATAAATATACTATAGAGATTCAATGGAACATACACATTTACACTCACACACCCACGCATGCATGTAGTTAGTAGTATGTGAAATAAAAACTATAGCTTTATATGAACACACAACACAGCTCACCTATAAATTAATGGGCGCAGACATACATAAATTAATAAGTAGTTTGAGCAAACGTGAACTGAGGGCATAAATTAAAAGCATAATTACAACATTTGTGTGTGCAAGAGAAAAGAAGGAAAAAGCTAATTTTTCGTGTATAGAAAGTTAGCTGGTATTTTTTTCTTTTAATTACTGTAGTAAATAAAAATGGCTTTTTAACGTTGTAACTCAAATAAAATGGCAAACAAAAAGGCACAACATGTCTGCAGGTGTTTGCGTCACATACTACGAGTACATACATACATACATACATACATATATATCTGCAATAATATATACTAGTATTTTACTACCTGAACAATTTTCGTCATTTCTTGTATGTCAATTACGCCATTACCGTCTACGTCGTACATGCGGAAAGCCCATTTGAGCTTCTCCTCGGGAGTGCCACTCGATGTAACGTCTATAGCAAGAAGAAATTCCTAGAAAATCGTATGAAATTGTAAAATCACGCTCGCATAATTTAAACAAAAAAAAAGTACATAATACTAAAAAATATTAGGATACGGGCAAACTTTGAAAAATAATCCTTACATAGAATACATTTTCATACACAAGCATACTTACAAATCGTGCAGTATATATATATTTTTTTCAATATAAAAGCCTACCCACTAAACATTTTTTGTTGCTGGCAATAAGAAAGCGTGTTGCCCTCGGAAACAAATTTATTGCCGGTAATATCGCCATTTTATCGATTTCCTATTACCAGTCGCTCTAAAACGTTCGCCGAAGGCAACTCGCCTGGGCGAGTCGTTTTCTTATTACCTGAATGAGTCGATTTTGTCGCTTCAGGCGATATTTGAAATAATTTTATTTAAAACTTCATTTATTTTTTGTATGCAAGATTGGAACTTAGAAACGGAATTAATTCTTTCTTTCGCTAAGGGGCTTCTTATTTTTTCAATCCTGTGCTTGGTTTGGATAATACTGTTGACGCGAAATTTAGAAGTTTGGGAATTTTTGATGACTTATTTATTTCAAAATTGACATGAACGAAATGATGCTGCCGATTTGTCACCACGGCAATAAAACGGTGTGCCGCCTATTTCCCATGTTTTGCATGGTGGGTAGGTTCTATTGGAGGCTCAAAATTTTATATGAAACTACATTGAAGAGTGCCCGACGTCGTTCGCGGTGAACAAATAACCGATTAAAAATGGCATGTGCCACGCCTCCTTGCACAAACTCATTTATGTATGTATGTATACCTTACCATGAGCATCTGCCATAGTTATGTCCATTATAAAAACATATTACGGAAAAAAGGTTCTCTCAGGTAGTCGGCCATGATTTTTTTTTAATTTGACAGCATTTTAAAATTATATAAAATTGAAAATAAAAAATAATAAATTGTGTTAAATTGTAAGTAAAATTAAAAATTACATTATTTGAAAACGTAAAAAATGCTAAAAGTTGTTGTTGTAACAGCATACAAATTCCCGAAAGAGTTTTTGGGGAGTGATGCTGAAGTGAAAATCTCATGTGACTTATGGTTCCAAAGTTATAACTGATTGAAACTTTCAAGCTGTGGGATGTGGACACGCTCCTTATCTTAACTAAAACCTTAATAAACCTATTTCGTCTGGCTCCTATTTTGTGATACATAATGCATAACCTAATTCCATTAATTCAAGTTGACATAAAAGTTTTAACAGGTGGCAACCCTCCTACATGTAGTTTTGAAATTAAGCCCTTTCAGAACCATTTCGATTGATACCCATATTGATATAATTAATTTAACTTATTAAATAATTTGAATTTAACTTTTTACACAGGTGGCAACCCTCTCATCTTAAACAAAGTTTAACTGCCAGTTTTACGAAGGCAACTTAAGTGTAAAATGACTTTTCTGTCAGTTTCCATATTAAATTGAAGTAAATAAATTATTTTTCACTTAAATTGCTTTCGTGAAACTGGCTATACGTGTTCAAACTAAAGATTTCTTCCGTTTGACACCCATATTTTAATATTGCATATAACTGCTATATAATTTAAATTAATTCTGCTTTTTAAACAAATGGTAACTCTCTTCAAAATATAACTCTAAAGCCTCTTTTATGTAATCGAAAAACAAAACTACGCGGATTTGTAGGTAAATCAAATTTGAAAGGGTTATTCTCATATTCCGTAGCTATAGCCGAGTGGTTGGAGGTGCGTACATCCACTCCCTAAGGCCAAAGTTCGATTCATGGTTAAAACAATACCTCAAAGAAGTATTGAAAACGGATTTTCCTTAAAATCAGTCGCTGTGATGTAGTGGTTAGAAGTGCGCACTACCATTCCGCAGGTCTAGATTCGAGCCCAGTTATTGTTATTCTTATATTCCAAATATGTATACAGCCCGCCTCATTTTAAAGATACATATGTATGTATATATGCACATTATTTTCCTTCAAAATCTGGGCTTGCATATATACATACATATATGTATGTATTTACATGTAATCTTTAGAGAAGCTTCGTTTTAAAGTTATTTTGAAGAATGGTCGATTTTAAAGAAAATTTGTGTAAACGAAGGCACTAACATAGATACTTTATTTCGTATGCGGCTTTTTATTAAACAATACAAAAAACATACTACATATAAAATTTGTGTCACTTGAAGATGCACTGTATACCCTACCACCGTACAGGGCAACGAAAAAAAATTTCGCCATACACCCCCGACTTGAAAGTATTTTTGCAAGGCAATTTCGAACATTTATCCCGAACCTACGGGTCTCTACATTTTTCGGTGACACCTATATTCGGCAATACAAAGATTTTTTTTAAATAGTTCTGCTGGCATAATTGAAATGCTTCCTTATCAAAAGTTTAATGATTTGTTGTGAGCTTTAATTTACTGCCATTAGAGTGGTATGTTAGACCGATAAGAACTTATATCTGGTGGATAATTACTAGAACATGGTAATTGAACTCAATGAACTTTGGCACAATTTTCTCCTCGAGACAAGCACATCGATACATCATACTTTAAGATCCGACTGTAAATGCCCATGATATGACGAAAAATGTAAAACGGCGACCTTACACTCTAAAAAAAATTGTGTAGATTTCCTACCTAAAAGGTAGATTACTGATTTCCTACCTTATTATTCGCGAATTACATGCTCGGTTATTAAACGAATAGTTTGTTGAAATTTCGGACTTTTTAGAGTAATATAGCTGCTGTGGTGTGCGTAAATTTACTACGAAGGTGTGTACAAGTTACAAAATACACATCTGCTGTTTCATTTCACCCGCAGAATTGTGTAAAGCCGCTAACAAAAGGGATTTTTACATACGAAAATATGTAAACGAGAAAAATACATATTCATCGTGTAAATTTACCAAAAAAATTTAAAAATAAACAAAAATATACTCGATTTATAGTCGCATTTTTAAATTTTTTAGTGTACGTTCGGTAAAAAAAAATTAATTGCCTTGCAAAGATAGTATAGTCTATAGATGTACGGCGAACTTATTTTTCTGTTTTTAAGTTGGTAGGATTTACATGCGTATGCTTTTGTATCGATGATTTCCCTCTGTGGCTATTTATATATTTTTATTTGATAAGTCGTAATAAAGTTGCTAGTAAGTGTTTGTTTGTTTGTATGTTTTTATTATTCTGCCCGAATCAGTATCAACGCCAGCCAGCCTATGCACGTTCATACCTATGTACATGATGTACAGGCCCATATTGCACAATATCAATATTGTCTCTGCGACGAAACTTTTTTTTCATTCACTACTCCCAACGTTGTTTTTGGGTTTTTTACTATTTTCCTGTTATGTCGATATAAGTACATACATATGTATCTATGTAGGTAGCTGTTATTTTTCTTTTTTTCTTGGTTTTATTTTTCTCATTTTGTGTGTATGTATGTATGCTTTTTGTTGTTTTTCTGGCTGCATAAAATCAATTACATCACTTCACCTCATCTTTTCAACACAATCGCACAATAGTTTCCTCGACAAGCGGCACCGAAGAATGCAGGTGCACGGGGGTGGGCCGAGTAGAAAGAACGTCAATTGAATAGTGATTTAAGTGAGCTGAATATGTGGTGGGTGTGGCGCACGGCGGTCGTCGGTGGTAGGTGGCCGGTGACGACCGGCGGCGCTGGGTTAATCGTGCGCGCTGAAAGAAATGTTTACAGAAATAAATCCATTTAATGAAGGAATTAAAACAAAGGCGACACACAAGTATCCGCACTGCGTTTTTCGCATTGTTTTCCTTTTAAAATAAATATTAAAAAGCAAAAACGATTATCACACAACACCACCACGGCACGGCCGTGACGTCCCCTACACCAACAGTGATAGCTGCAGCAGGCAGTAGGATTCCGGGATCCCGCAAACTTACATGTACCGAAATCCCGGGATTACAGCTCCGGGATGCCGAGATTTTTACTTAGTCATTTACGGAATGAAAGAGATGTTGAAAACGAAAAAATTAATTAATTTGAGATGAAAAACGAGATATACAGAATACCAAAATTTTGATTCAAAGTGAACTTGAGCTATTTGCATTCGGACGTGAATTTCATAACCTGCCTAAATAACTGTACTTACTCAAACATTTTGTGGCAAGAACTGTGTAATAACGAAAAATCTGGTAGCAATTGAAAGCACAACAAGATTTTACAGTGTGGAAGGGTTGTCCTCATTTTATTTTGTTAGCGTTTTGTGGAAAATTAATTTCTGAAGATATTAGCCAGGGCTTTTTACAATTAATATAGACATTTAGGAATACTATAAAAATATTTACACATTAAATTTCCGATGGAGGTGCATTATGCTCCCTGTAAGACCAAACGGTGACAATGAATCTGTAGGCGAACCTACTGTTAAATGCAAAAGTTGTGATAAAGTCGAAACCCCGACTATTCCCGGGATTAGAATTTTTGCATCCCGAAATCTCGGAATTGTTAAAATCCTTCGGTATTGAATGCCCTACTAGCCAGTAACACACCCAGTAGGAAAACAATCAGGTGTTCGAGGACTCGAGTAGTTCAGCAGCACTTAACCGCAATACGAGTATGCATATATGAATGTAGAGTGTTGACGACAGCAGCGAACAAACGACAATGAAGGGGGTATAGCTATAGAGCAGCAGCATTTATGCGATGAAACACGGCAGCAACAACAACAACTTGAAACNTTAACCGCAATACGAGTATGTATATATGAATGTAGAGTGTTGACGACAGCAGCGAACAAACGACAATGAAGGGGGTATAGCTATAGAGCAGCAGCATTTATGCGATGAAACACGGCAGCAACAACAACAACTTGAAACCAAAGCACATCATTTACTGGACATAAACATACATACAAATAATGTGTGTTTATAGACGTAGTACATACATTCATATGTACTAAAGTTTTTAGTTTACTGTCGCATATTTTTATTCTATCACTTTGCACTACAGACAGTGGTGTCCATATACATACATACATAGAAACACGAGTTCTTGGCAATTTATTTTTTAATTGTTTTTTTTTTTTTTAACAAAAATAGATAATACCAGGGACCGTAAAGATTAGGATCTTTATAACAAAAATCAAAATTTAACCGTTAATATTGTATTTATATTTTCCGATCAAATTTTGATTGGTATTTTATGCTTTTTATTTGTTTCGATAGGTTTTTGATCGTTGCTATACATCGTTGAATAACATTTATTTTTGATCGAAAAAACCATAATCACAAACCAACAATTATTCATTACAACAGTTAAAAAATATAGAAAAAAATAAAAATCCAAAATAACATTTATTTTTGATCGAAAAAACCATAATCACAAACCAACAATTATTCATTACAACAGTTAAAAAATATAGAAAAAAATAAAAATCCAAAATAACATTTATTTTTGATCGAAAAAACCATAATCACAAACCAACAATTATTCATTACAACAGTTAAAAAATATAGAAAAAAATAAAAATCCAAAATAACATTTATTTTTGATCGAAAAAACCATAATCACAAACCAACAATT